GTAAAGTCTATCATACCGTAGAGACAATGGTCATGTCTTTCATACTTCCATATACTCTTTGGGTATTTTAGTATCAGAAAATTTAATCTCTTGATATTCTACAATCTAAATTTGACCTTCAAGAGTGCTTGATGCTACATAGCCCCTTAGAACACAGGAGTCTTTTTAGCAAGAACCTGTGTAATTTTTAATTGGGAGGTTCAATTAAATCAATAATGCCATCTTTTCTCTATTAGAAATCCCTGCTTGACTTTCTATAACTGTTTGTCTTTGCCTCTTTCTGAATTGAGACTTAAATTTGTTTTCCGCATCACTGCTTTTCACAAAATTTGAAAGAAATTCCTTACACGTCTCTTTATTGGATCCCCAAGGTGCTACGACAATGAATCATCTAGTCCAAAATCAGTGGAATTATTTGTTTCAAGACACAGCTACAAAGCTGAAGGCATTTGCTGCCTGCCCAGAGCATCAGACTTCTAATAGTACTTTTCTGCTGTTCATGACTCATGGTAGTTGGAGTGGCATTTGTAAGAAGAATTACTATGAGCAAGACTCAAATGTATTGGAAGTCAACACCATCTCAAATGCTCAACATTTGGCATGGTCTAGGTTTGAAGGATAAACCCAATGTGATCATTATCCAGACCAGTGGTGGTGGTAAGTGCTGATGTCTGTCAGAACATAAGATGTTCAAATGCTGACTTTATCATCTATAGGCATCCAGTGTTTTTCACTTTCCTTTTGTCTGTTCCTTATATAAAAAAACACCTGTTGTCACTGTCAAAACTGTGGCTTTTGTGAATCGTGTGGTTGGTAGATATTTTTTCTATTTTCGACTAGAGAGAGACAACTTATGGTCTTGAGACTTTGATGTTTGGATGTCATTAGAGTTCATTTGTGTATTAGGAGAGAAAATAATGCTTGAAAAGATAGTTCATTTGATATATGTGTGGATGTATATGCAAGTGAAAGACCGAGGCAAATTAGTGAAATTGGCTAAACAGAAGTGTAGAGGAGACAGTAGTTCTCTTAGAAGTTCATAGTAATGTGAAACAAATCTTGTCTTTCCAGGGAATCAAGGTGTAGTGTGCTTAGAAGATCCATCAGAAATTCTGAAAACATCTATATTGGCTCCAAAAGATTTTGAGGATGGTACCATTAAGAAAGGCCATGTAGAGAAGGATTTTGTTGCTTTCTGTTTTTTTACATCAGGTAAAGGTTTCTGTGTAGGGCACCTTTTTGGAAGTTACCAATGGAGAAATTCACATCCACCCATTAGGGTGTGGACATTTGTGTTGTACTTTAGATGAGACTTTAGAAGATGGACTTAAGACTTCCTCTCAGTTACATATTCTACAGAGACTAAGTGTACAAATATTTTTACTGAATTAGTAATTAGTAAACTCTTTGCAGTGAAAAATATTTTCCTAGAACTTTGAGGGATTAATGAATAAAAAGAAGAGTTTATGCACTGAGGGAAATTAGGCTGGCTTCTCATAGAAACGGTCCACAAGCTTAGGAACACTTGCTCCCAGACCTATTTGTCCATACATTGTGTATTTACAGGAGATACTGGGTAGAGGGTACAGAGGTAGAAAACAAGACAGTGCATACTGGGGCTGTCAATTAAAGTGAGTTTTACTAGAAGTATGGTGTATATAAAAAAGAATATTTCTAAATGATTCTAAATGTAAACTTTGGAGTGCGATTATAGCCTGAGTCTGCCATTTAGTGCTCTGTAAAATAGTTCCAGTTATTTAGAAAAGATAAATGGTCTACTTTGAATTTCTCACTAATACATGGGAATATAAATATTATTGTTTTAAGGATGAAGGAAGATAATGTGTGTGAAATATTGAGTATGACCCAGAGTAAAGCACACATTAAATGACTGTCATTATTAGATATGTTTCTATTAACTTAATGCCTTATTTTCCTTATAAAAGTTTAACTAAAAGTTATTAGAATCATTTTATCTGTTATGTTATCTGTTTATCATTTTATCTGTTCTTAGAAATGAGATTTCTAAGAAATCTCATTCTCTTGGTTACTTCTGGCCTTAAATTCCTGTCTCTGCTCAAATAGTTTAGTTTACAAATTCTTTCAAATTCTTTTTATTTATTTATTTATATATTTTCTTTTTTTTTCAACATCACCAAATAATTTATTTGGAATCAGAATTTAAAGAACGTTTGACAGCTATGAAATATGTGTTTATTCTAATACTTCTAGAGTTGTACAACTGACTCATCACAAATTTCTGGATAAATGTTACTTTACTCCTTCAGGATGGGGGTTTATTAATTATTTCAAATTTGGAATTTTCAAATTTGAAGTTAGGGAATGTGTTCATGTCTGCTTTACCATACATCTGCTTTGGCTTAAAAGCTCCCTCTCCAGATCTTGCTGATATTCTGGGCCAGTATCAACAGGTGCTCCAGTTGTCTGTCATTACGAATTAGAGATTTGTATTCTCTAATCTTGTCCACAAACAGTTTCTGTACAGGATTAAGTTCCTTATTAAATGCCACTGCTGTGATACCAATGTTCCTCTGCAAATGGACAGAGACTGCTGATCGAATGATAGAGGAGAACCTGAAGAGTCTCTGAAGAATCATGGTGACTCTTGGTTACTTGCACTCTGTCCTGAGCTGCCAGAGCCACCGCTGCCACCACCATTCTCTTATTTATTTTCTACAGATGAGTTTTTTAATAGATAAATTAGCAGATACACACTATTGTGAACTACTTCCAGACAAAAAAAAAGCTTTGATTTGTTTTTCTCTCATAAAAATAAGTTTGTCATTTATAGTATTAAAAATTTATTTGCACTTGAACTTTCATTACTGTCCTAAGTTTTTTTCTCTTTTTTCCCCGCACCCACTCTCTCTACAAAACCACTTTCCACCCTTACTATCACTAACATCCATATCCATCCTCTTCCCCTTCACATCTTTGGATCTCTCAACCTCTGCCATAAAGCACAGACACTCAGTACAAATTGAGTGATTAATCACAAATTATTCAAAATGATTGATTCAATAAAATTCACAAACTATTTTCTGTAACGAGATAACCTGGTTCTGCATTGGGTTGATCATATCCTAATATAAAACTCCATGAATTTTTTTCCCTAATGATCAGAACTAATGATACCACACATAGATATTCTTGAATATATTTAGAGGACTTTAATATTAGACAAAACTGGTCTTTAAAATCATATGATCCCCCCAAAAAAACATTTGTCTCTGTGTATACTTTGTAGGCCCTTGGCTTCTCAACCACCGTCTCGCTGATTTCTGTCTCCTTTATCAGTCCTCCTTTCTGGATGACTCTTAGAAACCCCAATTCTGTTATCTTCAACTCTCACTGCTTAACCTGGTTCCATGTTCCTCAGTATAAATACCACCTACATTGTAGCACTTTCCCAAAGAAAAATGACGATGTATTTTCTTAATTTTGCAAAGAAATTGCATGTATACCTGCATCTACCCTCTCTCCTATCCAATTTTTTGAACTAGAACCAGCTTCATAAGGGAGCTGTGGTTTTATGAAGAATTTTAATTATTGATATGCATTTAATTCCCATTGCTATTGGCTAAAAGGTTTGGCTAAAGAATGTGTCCATGATTATATATACAGCTATTGTTACAATTTTTCATACATTCCTTTGCATCATTTTAAAATTTCTTTATTACTTCTATGGGTCTACTGTATTATGTAATTAATATTCTTCACTAGTATTTGTCTTTTCCATTCGACCTTTCTGTCCTCCAATAGCATGTGATCTTTTCCTCTTGAGTGCTTTCTAGGTTTGCAGCTTTATTCTGTTTTTACTGTTTTCACATTTAGTTAATATTTTCTTTGTATAAACATATTGTCAATATTACTTGATTTTAATTATAAAATTATAAAGTATATAAGTTGAAAAGTTACTGATATAGTTACTCTGTATTTGCTGGTCATTATTTATCCCGTAGTCTTCCAGACACTTGTGATACGTTTATTCCTCAAATATCTATTTGTGGCAGAAATTATTACCCTCCCATTTATAGGTGAGGTTATTGTATATTAGAGTACACAATCAACCTAAATCTGAGTCAATAAGCAGCACTCTTGGGATGCACACTCAATATTTCTAGCCCAAAGTCCAATCATTCTTTTCATCCACATTTTACCTTATCCTTCCTACTAGATTTCTGGCTCCTTGAATTCAGGGGCTATCATCGTTTAATATCTGTGCCATATGCAGTACCCTTGAGTATCAGTGAAAATATACTCATTATATTATATTTTGAATATAAGCACTGAAAAATGGCAGGCTGCATATGGAAAACAGAATGAACTTAGTAATATGCCAGAGGTGGAGTGTAAACTCTAGGGCTCCCTGTGTTCAGGCAGCACCCATTGCCAGATGAAGAATGTGCTTTTTTCACATATAATGTTTTATGAAGACATCTCACATGGGGCTCTCTTTTTATGATGAAACTCATTGAAAATTTGCACGAATATGCCTGGCTCTCTGATGTAGCAGATATTTTCTGAAAGGCAAGGCTAAGGCTGCTTCTCCCACTCTATTTTGCTAGCCATTCCAGCTAGAAACTTAGGAAACAGCTCTTGACATGTTTATCTTTTAATAACATTTTTCTTCCAAATGAGCTTTGGGCAAATCTGAAAGTCAGATCCAATCTGTTTTGATTCACAGCCCCTAGAAAACTATCATTTAACTTAACTCTCATCCTACTCTGAATAGAGTCCCGTGTCCATCATGGCTCTCAGATATAATAGCAGACTTAAAAAGTCTAGAAGGTTATGTTATACTTAGATGTACACATTGCTGTGATTCTTACAGATGCAAATACTTTTTGTTGTTATCATTTATTTTGTTATATTCATTGCTGTTTTTCTGGCCTAAGCAAAGAGCTTCTGCTCAGAAGAAAAGCCTACAGACTTTCATTTCTCTTTTAGGTCTGATTTTTGTTTGAGCTGCCAGATGGTTTGCCCCAGATGCCTACCACTGGTGACTTTGACCAGATGTTTCTACCTCTTCCCAGGACATTAAGTAAGGTTGTATCAATGTCTATGGGCTGGTGTGTGTAGGTGTGTGTGTGTGTGTGTGTGTGTGTGTGTGTGTGTATGTGTGTGTCTGTTTGGCAGAGGAAGGTGGAAGAGTACAGAAACTCCATCCTGGTCAGCATCTCTGGATCTAGCATATTAAGTGGGAAATACTGAAAGGAAATCTTTCTTCAGCTCAGTGCAGAGCACATGGGTCTTCTCTCAAAGTTCTGCAGTGTTAGATGCCTTTTCTTAGGATCAGCTGGCATAGATAAAGAAATAGCCAAAAATTTATGAAAGGTTGCTTTTACATGTTTCTTCCATTTACATTAGCAGGGCAATATTTAGGCATACTATGAATTTTTCCTTTTTATGAATATATGTGTCTCCATTGGTGGAATGACCTCATCATGACCTTATCACTTGCATATCTTTTAGAACAACGCTTTTGTGTTTGTCTTATTTCCTTTTTTTTTTTCTGTAGGAAACTAAGAATCTTATCATTCTCTACTTGTCTTTTGAATTATATTTGTTGGAAACAGAAATTTCTTTAAATAGTCTAATAAATCTGAAATAAATGGAAAAGCTTTCCCCATTAATTTTACTTACTTTTTTTTTTACACTGGACGTATGGGGAGTGAACCTCGGAGCAAGTAATAAATTTGGAGTCTTTAGGTGTAATCCATAAGAGCTGACACTGGTTAATATCACCATTCTTTCTTTTAAGAAACCATTTTCTGGGCTTTCTGCTTTAAAGGCACAAGTATAGATCACACTAGGCACCTGACTCCCAGAATTTAGGGCTCGGCTGGTGAAATGCAGAAAAGACAGATAGTTATGGAACATAACTGATCCCAAAGCCATACTGACAAGTCAGGATAATAACCTATCTACTTCTACCCTTTGTTACAATATTTGAGAGATTAAGAGTAATTTTTCGATTCAGTGCTAGGCCCCTAGCAGTTTACATTACACTGAGAGGATAAGATAGTCAACCAACATGGAGCAATTAACAGATAGCACATGGCACATATGGATAAGCAGTAGTGTATGTTGTATGTGAAATGATACCTCTACATGGTGAAGTGAAAATGAGTTTTGGGTGAATTCCTTCACTTAGCAATGTTAGGTTTACATATGTATATTTCATGACTTTCTATAGATATATTGATGTGTTACAGACAATAAGAAGCAGGCAACAAATCTATAAGGGCTTAGACATACTGGGCCAGGTGCATCCCTTGGTGATAATCCCATCAAAGGGGAATTCCCATGATCTTCTTTTTAAAAAATTTACTTATTTATTTATTTTTATTTTATTTTCTTTTATACATTTCAATCACATTATTTAGCTTACAAAGTGAATATTTCAACAGTTAAACATTTCTCCCCAGTCCAGTTGATAAAACTTTGTTATCTTCAACAGATAATACCACATTTCTTTGACCCATTAATGCTTTACCTCCCTATTTTTCTTCTAAATGTCCTTCCTCAGACTCTACTCTTTCACACACTCTATAATGGAGACAAATTTCTGGCTTGACCCATGTGATAAGGTATAGCTGCATGATACTAAAGCCATATGAAAGACCAGGGTTCAAATCTTGCATTGACCTGAACATGCCCAGGAGTCATCCTGACTAAGTGGAAGGTGGGGTAGGTGGTGCATGTGTGGGTGTGGGTGAAGTTGGGAAATCACAGTGTGATAAGACCTTGTCAAGGATAACTATTTGACTGTTTCTCTCTCTCATGAAAAAAAAAGAAAAAATATTCAAAGTTGAACACATTATCGCTTTTTCCCTTTTTTTTTTTTACCCTCCCTTTCAATAACTATCTCTGGACATACCTCTTACACAATCATGCATTTGTTCTGTTACAGGCTGAAATGGCCTCTGTGAATAGTCTTTGTTCAGAGCATATCAAAAAGCAGAGGTGGGGCGGGCTCTGTGGCTCAGAAGGAGCTACATCCCACCTGGCCACCATGGTTTGAATGCCCAGCCTGGTCAGCTTGAAATATGCCAGTCTTGCATGAGAGCCCAAAATCTGATGGGCCGGAGGACTGAAGGAAGTGGATTGTGGTGTAACCAGATCCTGTGGCGTGTGCTCATCTCTTTTTCTTTGTGTCTCATTCTCACGTTTGTGTGTTTATGCTCTATCATGAATTAAAAAGATAAAAAATAAGAAGCAGAGGTGAACAGTCACTGTCAGTAAAAACTGAATGTAGAGATAGTCTTCAGCAGTTAACGATAAGCATGTAGGTGAGTGGAACAGAAGATTCTTTTAAAACTAACTCCAATAAAAGATTAAGATGACAGGGAGACAGGAAGGAGGGGATTCCATTATGACGGAGAGTTTAAATAGGAAGCCTTTCTGGTCAGTTCTTACCTGGAGGAGAAAGGAGATCTGCTAGTTTTAACTTCTTCAGGATCCATGCTTTCAGGGGAGCAGAGGTAGAAATACTGAGAGATTTGAAGGAGAAGGAAAGGATAGAGAGAAGAAGAGGTGGGGGCCAGGAGATAGAAAAGAAAAAGGAGGAAAAAACAGTGTGAGGTGTCAACCTGTAAGACAATATTTTGTCATTTATGTATATTTTTTCTCCTCAGAGGAAGAAACTAGAGTTCAGAACTGGAAAGCCAATTTGCTGACTATAGCATACTTCCTGACAATGAATCTGGAGCTTCTGAGTTTCATAATCTATGAGTAAGTATTCCTGACCCTTGCACCAGAAAATGCCTGCTGACTTATTTTCCAGTCTAAGGCTCTTTTTATCACTGTAGAAAGGACTGAGGCCAGCCTATGGCTGGTAAGTCAGGGTCCTTTTCTGTCCAGAGATGAACTATTTGGGCCTTAAAAAACAATTTATTCATTGTTCTATGATAGGCAGAAACAGCCACAACAACAACAAAACCCAGAAGGAATGTGAGCCAATAGTATACAAACTGAATTCTTTTCCTTATTAGTTGTGTGTAACTTGATTAGTGAAACTCAGCATTAGAGACATTGAAGAAGAGTACAGCCTCTGGATATCTTCAAGTCAGACAGAAATTAATTCCTTTCTTTAAGCTCCTAGTAATTGAAGAGAAAGTAAAGACAGACAGAGTAAATTATTTATATGTGAGACAACTCTGGAGGTTTCCAAAGGCTTTCTGGAGGTTTTTAAAAGCCTATAGTCCTGCTTCCTTTTGTTCCAGATCATAAATATTGTTCTGAGAATCAGATCTGAAAGTATTTGAGTGCCCATCCCTTGGCCAACTCCTACATTGCATTAAACTCTTGGTCTGTTTAAAGGGATGCATTTTCCTTTGTCTTTCTAGTCCAGATACTAACTACTGCAACATATTATTTCTTGGACTGCTATCAGAGTTTTTTTTTTTTTGTTTTTTTTTTAACTGATCTTCTCTCCAGAACTTAACCCTCCAATCCATCCTGCATACTATTTTCAGATCACCTGTGTTATACTCAGACACTGAAAAATCTTAAGAGATGAACTCCTAAGCTATTTAGGCAGCTAGTATCGAAAACTATCATATCTTTTCTTTGATTTTATTCTCCTCAGTTGAAAAGGAAGATGTTGTCCTAGATCAGTGGTTTTTATTATTTTTTTGGAGAGGTTTTTGCTATAGGGTATGTGCACTCGCCAGAAAGACAGAGAGAGAAAGAGAGACAAAGAGTGGGAAATCCCCCCCCCTTCCGTCCGCCCCCGCTGGGGGATGGCCACGCTGCAACTTCTCCTCCATTCTCCTCTCGGGATCTTGTGCACGCATGCACATGTTCCTGGCGTGAGTTTATGCCACTGGGTCTGGGACTCGAACCATAGTTGACTATGTGGGAGTCCAGTGACATAGCCATTACGCCAACTGCTGGTCCCGATAAGTGGTTTTAAAATCTTATAATATTTCTGAATAATTTTTTAGTAATTTAGAAGAAAATTAGATTGTTTCTCATTGACCCTGACTAGCTCAATCTTAAATAGACTGTAGGTATTTATAATCTTGTAAACATCTACAGATAATTATTATGTAGCTGCCTTGGCATAGGCTTATCTGCAGATTAGCATTATTAGGAAAGATGATCAATTAGTTCTTAGTTCTCACATTCTAGAGACCTTTAAATACAATTTTCTTATTCAGAAACATATAATGGCTCCCTATTGCCTTTTTGAAGATGTCTGAATTTTAAGACAGGTTTTCTTGCTTTCAAAATACATTGTTTTCATTTTCTAGTAATCCCACTAAAGCATGATTTCAGCTTTACATACAAAAAAATGTACTTACTGAATTTATTCCACTAACACTTTCTTGCTATCTTGTTTCTTTATTTCTTTGATTCTCTCTATAGTATAAATATTTACAGGGTTTATATCTCACCTCGCATCTGACTTATCCTAAAATGCAGGCATTAATTGTTTTCTAGTTTACTTCATGATACTAATAAATTATTTGTCTGGGGAATAGGAAGTTAAATTCACACTCATGGCTGCCTCTTGTCCAGGCAGGCTACTTCATGGGTTATTGATTTGGAATCAGAGTACCACTATATGTGAGAAATTGAAAGTTATTAGACCAATACAAGTCAAGAGGCTCAGTAAATTTAAGCCACTGAGTTTGACTGGCCATTGTTAACTAAAGCTCCTGAGGAATAGTATTCCACAGTGTGTTTGAGCATTGTATCAATTTGTCTAGGAGTAAAATTGTGATCCTGATGCATTTTGTCTGCTAAATTAATCCCTCCATTTTTATTACCTCTGCAACCTCAATTCAGTGACTATTACAATAACAATGAATAACAGACAGGCATTGTCTTTTTGTTTTGCTTGTTCTTTTTTTGTTTGTTTTAGACACCTCTCATATGGCAGATATTTCATGCCATAATCATTCTCTTTGAATGAATACCCAAAAACCCAATTAAGTTTGTAGTCTTAGCATTTTCTAGATCAGGAAGATATATCAAGAGAGATTATGTTGATGTAGGTTATTTGATTGACTGAAAAAAGTGATCCCAGGTTGGCCTGACTCCCAATCCGAAGACCCACTATTACTCCATTTTCTGCAAAAGTCTTCAAATGACTGCCCTGTCTCTGATCACTCCCACTTCAGTCTGTGCTGCATACTTTTGCATATGTAGTATCTTTTCTGAGGCCCAGCTCTGCAATCTTCCTAATTACATCACACACCTTGAGCCCTTGGTATTTCTGCCCATGATGTCCTCTGCCAGGAGAAAAGCTACCAGCTTGTCCAAAGGACAGACACCCACTAAACCCTCAGGTCACAGTTTTAAGCTCTCCCTCTGGGAGCTGTTATCCACCTTCTGCTGCTCTTGTGCATGTATCTATTATTTAAATTATTATACAGGTCTGTATTTTACTTATTTGTATATTTATCTTGCCATTTATACATTTTGGGGCCTAGCAATATCTTTCAAATGGTATCCCCAACATTAGCAGAGTATCTTTTACAAACAGGTACTCATTAAATATTCCTGAACAAATAGGAGATAATGAGCCTTCTTTTTGCTTGAAAACTTCCAATCTGCTCTTATTGCCTGTTGAATAAAATCAAACTTAGGTTGCTAGTAAGACTTCTTTAAGAGTTAAGTCATGCTTACATTGTATTCATTTGCTTCTATGTTCATGGAGATGCACAGAGGGGTCACAAAAGTGAGTTGCCTGACATGCATGTCCCCAGGTGAAGTCAAACAAGGACATGCTCTGCCTTCTTCTTTCAGCTTTCATAGTATAAACAAGTATCTTTTCCATGGTCTATTTAGGGTCATATTTTCTAAATTTTTGTAATTTTTTTTTTTTGTTAATTTCATTGTTCAGAGGATCTCCAAGTGCCGATGTGCTGTCTAGTGTCTCTAAGCACAAGAAGGCTATGATGTGTCTTACTGAGAAAATGCATGTGTTAGATGAATTTAATTTAAGCATGAGTTATAGTACTTTTGGTGGTGAGTTCCATGTTAATAAATCAATGATATACACTAAATAAGGTGTCTTCAACAGAAAAACACCTTAAACAAGGTTAAGTATTCATTGGTTTACAACAATGTGACCAAAGACTCTCAGGAACCTAATCTTATATTTTGCTTAGGAGCAAATAAATGGTTTAGTATTTGTTAATTTGGTATTTGTAGCAACTTTAAAGAATGTAACTACTATGAATAATAAAAATGGGATATATGCTGTTTTCATAGCTCGGGAACCCAGGGAATGGTACATTCCAGTAGATGTTTTACTTAGTGGTATAGTCAGTGCCCACTAAGAGTTTGCCAAGTTCATGTAAACAAGTTATGTGGTACAATGGGTAGGACCAGAGTCTTGGGGATACATCTGTTGGTCAGGTCACTTAGCATGTGTGGGTAGGACCTATTGAATGAGCCAGGGTGAATCCTCTGTAGAGAAGCAAGGGAAAAAAACTCTTGAACATGCAAGGACCCTGGGTGGTAAGGTAGAAATGACTCTGGAATGAATGGGACAGATTCCTAGCTGGTTCTGCCACTATTTTAATGTGTCACTTAGAAAAAATAATTTTTTTCCACTAGACCTCAGTTTTGTTCCTTGCAAAATGAGGCAACTAGGCTACTTTAATGTTTAAGGCCCAGTGAATTTAGAAAGTGGTAAGAGGGAGCTGGCAGTTCCTGGGATGCAACAAAAACTTAAATGCTACATCATTTTCTTTCTATGAGGCTCAAATGCAGAAATATAAGTAGCTACAGGAGTTTCATCATCTAAATTATGACTTCAACTGATTTCCACCTTGCTCATACAGACAGTCTCATGGACAATTCTACAGCACATGTGCTGTTTGATCATACACTGTGACTCAAGAAAGGGACACTTCCACAGACCTCTTGGTGTGATCAGATTGGTGTTTTGAGTCACATTCACTGTCAAGTTTGCAGTTCAGGTCAAATGGAATATTTTCAAAGCTCAGTATGTATTCCCAAAACAGCAATAAATCACTCAGAAAGTTATGTGCTTATTTGCACGTGGCTTCAAATTACTGATTTAGCCAGCTGAGGGCACGCATTATGGTTTTTTAGCATATGATTTTTTATTTCTGGTGTTCTGATCATCCAGTAATTAGTGGATACAGATGAAATTACATGCTGCCGCCATTGCCTCAGATGGTCAGGTTTTCAGGATGCCAACTCCCAGCTCCTTTGGAGTTGACATAAATATTATGGAAGCAAAAAATTATAGTCATTTGCAGGGAAATCATGTGTTTAATTGCCAAGCGAAGCGGAGGAAAAATAGCAGAAGCACGCATCATGTATCAGTTAATGTGAGCGCATTATTGCATGTTGCAAAGGGGTCTAAAAGGACTTTTCAATAGTAAAATGAAAACAAAACTGTTCTAAAAAATGCCATCTGTGAAGCCTCTAGATAGGTCTGACTGGCTCATTTCCTTTCAAAAATAATCCCTGCATTCCAAAAGATGTTAATAATGAATGGAAATAACTATGGAGTAAAAATGGCCCATGGCTGATGGAGTAGGATTTCATGTAAGGAGTTGCTATTGAAATGAACATGGAAAGGAGCTCTCTGCAGACACATTTGGTGCCGATGTTTCCGTATTTACTGCAGATGGCACTTTAACACAACGTAAGACTCCTCAGGTCCCTTCACAGGCAGATGATTTCTGTAACTCATTCTAAACTCAGAATTTACTTTAAAATGTATTTTGAAAAAAAATTCTTAA